TTCCGTAGTGATACTGCCTCGGAAACCCAAGGAGGGGTCGCTATGAGTCGGGCCGACTCGACGGCACATAACAACAACAACAACATGCATATGAATATATATATATATATATATATATATATATATAATGTATATGTGTATATTTACATATATATCTCAAAGTATAAGAAGAAAGTGTAAGAGATGCTGCCTGCTTCCCTGAGTTGTCCCTCTGAGTGTTTGCCAGGACCTTAGCATTGCATTCTCCAGCCCCGGTCCAAGGTCACAGAGCACTCTGTTTATCGTCATCCCAATGTAGAAATGAAAAGAGGATTTACCTGGCACCTTCCATGGGCCAGACTCGTGCTAGGTATCAGGTACACAAAGAATAATAAAGCAGCGTCCTGCTTCAGCTAACTCGTGGAGGATTCATGCAACGCAAGGTTGTAGATATAGTCATGGAGGTAAATACGGGCCACAAGGAGAAATGAAGATAGGAGGAGTCTATGCTGCCTGGTCAGGAAGGAGAGCCTCCCAGCCTCCCTCTGGGAACAGGCCCTATGGCCTGATGGATCTGCTCTGCTGAGGCTGCTCTCGGAACACCCAGCTCAGAGAGGGTATCCACCCTACAGACCAAAGTAAAAACAGCCCAGACAACACAGGAGCCAGGAGGGAAGAGTAGAGAATCGGGAAACCCAGCTCCTTGTCCCTTCTCCATCTGCTTTCTGGTGGCAGAACTCAGTACTCCTACCAAACAAAAAAAACCAAACTCACTGCCCTCAAGTCGGGTCGGATTCATAGCGACCCCTCCTTGGGTTTCTGAGACAGTATCACTACAGGAAAGCCAAGGAGGGGTTGCTATGAGTTGGATACGACTTGATGGCAGTGGGTTATCACTAAAGAAGTAGACTGCTCAACCTTCCTTCCGAGGAGTGGAGGAGTGGCTGGTGGGTCTGAACTGCCAGCCTTCTGACGAGCAGTCAAATGCCTTAGGTACTAAGCCACCAGAGCTTCCCAGTACTCCAAAAGGCCATTATAAATCTGACAGGAGAAGCAAGCAATTCCTGAATCATCTCCATTCATGTTTCTAAAAGGCTCTTTCTCCTTTCACGATCCTTAAGTTGAGTGTGAATTTCCCCAAGGGGTTGGGAGGAGAGGCCACAATTCCCTGAGCCTGACCTACAAGTTATCACAGCAGGTAATATCTAGAGGGTGGGACTGGGTCCTCTTACCGCTCCCTCCACTCATCAGACTGACCCGGGCCCCAGGGTGTCTTCTCCATTTACTTTGGCATGGTGACCTTCTTGGACAGAGCAGGCTCAGAACTTAATGCCATCTCCATCTCCCAGATGGGCTAAGAAATATGGAAACATTAGTAATTCCCTACATCTGAGTCCAGGAGTTCTCGTGGTATAATGCCTAAGGCATTTGACTACTAACCAGAAGACTGGAGGTTCAAACCCACTAGCCACTCCTCAGAAGGAAGACTGGGCAATGTGCTTCCTTAGAGATATCACCTCAGAAATTCAAGGAGGGGTTGCTATGAGTCGAAACCGACTCAACGGCAGTGAGTTTGGTTTTGGTTTTGGTTTACATCTGAGCCCACTTGTTACTTTCTAAAGACCCATCCCATCAAAAGCCCTAAATAGCCTGGCAGAATGGAGGGTAGGTAATGTTGTCCCCTTGGGTCAGATGGAAAACAGACATAGGGACATCAAGTGACTTGCCCTGGGTTTAGAGTAGCATCACCAGGGCAGAGCCCAGGCCTCTTGCCCCCAGGTCAACAGGCTTCCCAGCACTCTTCTTACCTGTGTGGTAAGAGAAGCTCATGTGGAAGGGGAGGTCAAGGCACAATGAAACGATCTTGAGACTTTTCAGACATCTAAACAAACCCTCATGTCACTGCCCTTGTCTTTTCCTGCCTAGAGACAGAGCAATATCCCTCACCACATCTGGCTACCCAGCCCCTGCGTACATGCACGCATGCACACCACACACATATACATATTAATCCAAGACAAGACATCTAAGGCTTCTTTGGAAAGGGGGGAGAGGATAGATAAAAAGAAAGGGAGTTGCTGTCCAATCTTTGTGGAATTCTGAGTTGTTTTCTTTCTACTTCTGCCTATTCCTTTTTCAAAGTGAAGTCTCCAAACATAGAAGCTTACAACTAAAAGAAACTCTAAAACTCTAGTTGCATCACGTAAACTCAACTTATGGCTGTCCCATGTGTGTCAGAGCAGAGCTGTGAGCCATAGGATTTTCAATGGCTGATTTTGTGGAGAAGTAGGTCACCAGGCCTTTCTTCCAAGGCACCTCTGGGTGGACTTAAACTTCAATCTTTGAGTTAGCAGCTAAACATGTTAACCATTTGCACTACCCAGAGACTCCCAAAAGAAACCTAAAGACCATTTAATCCAATCTTTTGTTTCATACACTGCAGGCAGTGTAGAGTAGAGTAAGGAGCCAGTGCTGGTGTCAGGCTGGTCTGAGTTCAAATTCTAGTGCCCTCACTTCACACCCATGTAACCTTCGGCAGACCCTTAACATCTCTGCCTTGGTTCTCTAACCTATAAAGCAGAGGTAGTTAGGGTCAGGGCGAGGGCTCACTGCCTGGAATGTAACAGCTTTCAGTAAGAACTGACTACTATTATTAACTTCCCCCAAGCAGTGGGAGAGTGGAGAAGGTGCAGATATGGGCCTCAGAGTCCTTTAGACTCCACATCCCTTGGCCCTGCCTGTCCTGTGAGGAGGCAGCATCTGCAAGGGCCAGGCCTGGAACTTATCGTGGGAGAATACGATGAGAGCTTTGAGGATATGTGTCTCACCCCTTCATTTTACCTGGGGAAACTGAGGCCCAGAAAGCTGAGATGGCTTCCCAAGTTAGCAAGGAGAAGCTTTGAGTATTTAGCCCAGATTGCAGAGGTGGGGAGCCAAATTGTTTCTCAACCCAAGAATTCTGGAGTGGCCAACAAATCCACGTCACTGTGGACGCTGATGGAAGCCACAGCTATGGGTCTCGGCACACTGAGCATCTGTTCCACCAGGAAATGAACGTTTTTTCATTAGGAGAAGCTGAAAAATCATTTAAGGCGAGAGAGAGAGAGAGCCCATCCTAAAAATAACCATAATGCAGAAGTTCATCCTAAACCAGTCTTTTTGCTTAGGATGCAAAATTGAAATTTTTAAGAATAAGAAGGTCAACCAATGGCAGGGGAGGAGCTTTAATTAGAAAAAAAAAAAAAAAAAACCTTTGCCAGGAAATCTATGACTCTGCGACTTTTTATGAATGGGGAGGCCCAAGTCAACCTATAAAATGGGGACCCGAGATGAAGATCTGCACATCAGGGGCTTGCTCTTGCCAAACCAACCCACAAGGCAGACTCAAAGGAGGCAGAGCTCCGCCATGCCCCGCTCAGCACTGCTATGTTGCCTGGTCTTCCTGGCTGGTGTGGGGGCCAGCTGGAGCCAGGACACCCAGTCTGAGAACAGCTGCACCTACTTCTCAGACAGCCTGCCCCACATGCTCCGAGAGCTCCGAGCGGCTTTCGACAGGGTGAAGACTTTCTTTGTGAGTATGCTTCCAGTTCTTTCTCTCTTCTTGGGACTGCCTCAACTAGGCATTCTGCTGGAGCTGCAAGAACCCCCTTCTTCTTTACTCCATCCCCAGCACCCATGCCCTCCAACTTCAGCTTCTTAAGAGAGCCATCGTTCTGGCCACAGGTTCAATGAGTTAGGCTAAGCCCAGATGATGTGGTAAAGATAAAGTCTTGCCTTAAAGATCAATGCACAATCTCTCCTATGCTCAGAAACTTCTGTAAATCTCCACTGGAGCTCAGATTCTTGGCTGGGAGAAATCAAGAAGGGTCTGATTGGAGGTGCCACATACCGTATAGCAGAGAACCACTAAATTGCCTTTTCTTAGAAGGGCAATTACCTTGTAAGATTCAGGGAAGCTCCATGCATAGAAGAAACTTGCATTAGCAGAAGCTTCTCCTTCCCAGAGGTCTGTCAGCCTGAACTGGATGTCCCCAGTTGAGAGATAGAAAAATAACCATGGAACATGAGGAGGAGTGCAGGTCACTGAACGATTAACATGGGTGCCCTTAAAGCTTAGTCATGGCTCTGCAAAAAGAGGACCAGAACAGAGACAAGCTTCTCCCTTCACTTCAAAAATCAACCAGATTTTTAAAATAACTTGATCTCAAGGGGATGGAGCTGATTTAACTAATGGTTCCAACACCACTGAATTCTGCTTAAAATTTTCCCTTCAGTTTCTGAGCCAGAGCTGCATTGGTTAAAAATCAAAAACTCTATAAATAAAGAGGATCAGAAAGATACTCATTTCAGGTATTTTCCCAAACCTTGGAGTTCACTCTGCTTTTGTTCTTCTTGCAGCAAACGAAGGATCAGCTGGACAACATGTTGTTAAATGGGTCCTTGCTGGAGGACTTTAAGGTGAGAGCAGGGAGTGAGTGGGTGGTAGGGGGTGCAGAGTGACCAAGGGAAGGGAGACTCTGCTTCGTTACTAGGGAAGCTGGGGTTGCTTCCTTCACTTTAAAAAAGAGAAGTGGGAAGATCTTAACTCAGCACATAGGCAGCAACCGGAGGATTACAAAGAGCTCAGTGCTGGAGGGAGGCAGCTGGTTAAGGAGGGTCTTTGGGGACAGAGCTGTCCTCTCCAGCTAGCTGCACTAGCCTTTTCTCCCAGTCACCACCCCTTTCTCTGGCCCCTGCCCTTAGGGTTACCTGGGTTGCCAAGCTTTGTCAGAGATGATCAAGTTCTACCTGGAGGTAGTGATGCCACAGGCTGAGAACCAAAGTCCAAACATCAAGGAGCATGTGAACTCCCTGGGGGAAAAGCTGACAACCCTCAGGACAAGGCTTCGACGTTGTGTGAGTAGAAATTCAGTTCTTCCCTCGGCGGCTGTCCTCAGAAAGCCATCTCCTATGAAGCAGCAGGGCCACCTCCAGAGACACACTGACAGGCAGCCAGGGATACAATTTGCCAGGGCACCCAGAGTTCGATCTCTTGCTCATTTCTCTCTGAGCAGGGAGTGGGGGTGGCTACTAGGCATTTACATGTGAAGATTTGCAAACAGCTTTCCTGTTATTTGTGACTCATTTGTGGCTTATTAACTACTCTCCTCTCTTTCATGAAAGGGGCCCAGAGCTCCAGTCAGGCACCCTTGTCCCTTTGTACCTAGACCCTGGGCCTGGCGGGAGGTGTTCAGAAGTTGAGGCTCCTAGGCAAAACCAACTCCACTCACCTCTTTTCCTCAGCCTTTTAGAAGCAGAACTCTAAGCAAAGCCACTGTCTGACAAAATTTTCCCTGATATTTTAGAAAGGCCTGGAAAATATTCACCTCCAGGCAGGAATAATTTCCCCAGATAATTTATGTCTCTGACTGAATGATACCCTCTCCACAGGTTTCCTTTGTTCTATCCCTGATATTGAAACATCCATTGGGCCCTATTTGCAGGACAGGGCTATGCAAAGGGACTGTGACCAGTCTCCGTTCCTCAGGGACTTAGAAAGGGTCCTTGAAGGATGAGACTAGACAAGAGAGATAGGGCAGAGAGGCAGGAAAAGAATGCATTGAGAATGTCTGGTTCAGCACTCTGGGAGATCCACCATGGCGCTCTGGGGAGGATGCCCCAAGACTTGGGTTTCATCTAAGCCTTGCAGTAATCTCTGAGTGACCCCCAGAGGAATGAGGGCCACTTCCCTAGCCTGTGTTTCATCTCTGTCCCATTGGTAAGGATGAGGTTGGGCTCAGCTTTCCCAGGAACTACAGGGCGTGGACATTCAACATAAGCTACAGCTTGTCCCCAAGTGCTGTGGGTGCAGGAGCTGCAAGTGAGGGTCGGGTCGTTAACACTCTGTTTCCTCTCACAGCATCGATTTTTCCCCTGTGAAAATAAGAGCAAAGCAGTGGAACAAGTGAAGAATGCCTTTAATAAGGTAAGACAAATGGAGGCTGAGAGGGCTTAGAACAACCTCTGTCCACTCCCTGGAGGGTGGGGATGGGGGTGGCAGGTGCTAAGCAGGCATGGTTCTTCACTCAGAGGGAGTGTGGGAACCCAACACATGGTGTGACCTCTTCAGCCAGTGAGGATCTGCCAACTGGGTTATATTTGTTTTCTGTGAAGTGTCTTTGGGGGTTTCTAAATGACTGCTCCTCGCCTTCGCAAGCCTGCGGGCTGGGCTGGCCAACCAATCTGCAAACACAGCGAGCCTGGTGGTGGGGAGAGTGATAAAGGAAACAGAAAGTACAGAAAGTCACTTGTTAGGACTCGAGGCTAAACCCACACGTGCAGGAAGCTGACACGTGAATGTGCACATACAAACATACCTGAGGTTCAGACTGGGCTCCCCAAAACTCAGACAGAGCAGGAAGCAGGGTTCTCACTTGTCTGGAGTTGGTCCACACTCACTTTCCATCTGCCACTCACACCTGCTGGAGATGTCTGAGAATATTACCTCCCAAACGAAAAGGAGTTTCATGATTCCAAGTATCTGTGAACCTCTTAAACCCTGTTTCCCAGAAGCCATGTGACCTCTATCCTCATTCATGGTCTGGGGACTTATGCTGGATCTGATTCTAATATCAGGGTGCATGAATCCTCTGAGGGTAGACCCTCAGGCTCCGGGCAGAGCCAGCTCAATGGGAATACAAGCATAATGTGAACATATGACCTTTAAAATTGTTGAAAAAGGCACCATTTTGAAGACTGTGCTTTGGGAAGCAAATGTTCCTCTTGCTACTTGCTAACCATGCCTCAGGCCCAGAGAGGTCAATGCAGCCTTTCCCAAGACAGTTGGGCAGAGTCTCAGATTCCCAAACCACCTCCCAGCACCAGGGACCAAGGGCAGCTTCTGTACCCCCAGGGTCATGCTGTTCAAATGATAGTGGTGCCCACTTACTCAATCAGTTGAAATGTAACTAAATATTTCTCTTCTGCACAGCTCCAAGAGAAAGGTGTCTACAAGGCCATGAGTGAATTTGACATCTTCATTAACTACATAGAAACCTACATGACAATGAAGAGGAAAAACTGAAACATCCTAAGGAACAAAAAAATCCAAGATGGCAACTCTACGAGGACATGAATTGGAGGTCTTCAAAATCCAATCCACGCTTCCAGCTTCTTGGAAAACCCTATTGTACCTCCCTTCTAGAATATTTATTACCTCTGATACCTCAACTCCAGTTTCTATTTATTTACTGAGCTTCTCTGTGAACTATTTAGAAAGAAGCCCAATATTTTAATTTTTTTCCATATTTATTACTTTTCACCTGTGTTTAAGCTGTTTCCATAGGGCAATGCCTTATGGTATTTGAATGTTTTGAAGGAAATTGTAAGTTATATAAGAAGAGAAAAATGTTCTTGGGGAGCCAGCTGAAGCTTCCATTCCAAGCTGGCTTTACAGCTCTTGGGCTATTTACCCTGATCTCCCTCTAATTTCTGTCATCCCTGGGCCTAGGGCTACCGGAGTATTAGAAAAACTTTTAGGAAGGGAAACCGGGGAGCCACTATGATGATTAAACTTCCAATGGCTCAGAGGGATTCCCCTAACCTCATTCCCCAACCACTTTATTCTTAAAAGCTGTGGTCCGCTTGTTATTTATAACAACTTAAAATTGGTTCTAATAGAACTCAGTTGTAACTAGAAGCATTTCAATTCCTCTGGGAATGTTACATTGTTTGTCTGTCTTCATAACAGATTTTAGTTTTTAATAAGTAAATGGATCTTATTAAAATGATGCTGTGGTGTTCAATGACTTCTTTCTGACTGAAATTGCTCCCTCGATGCTTCCAAGATGGAAGAGAGAGGGAAATGAATCCTGCCTTCCAGAGAAAGGAAGCCAACTACCCTCTCCCAGAAGGAAAAGTTATTCTCCCTTCAAAAGCCAACAGCAAAGACCACCATGGTCCTCCCCAAAGACCTCCCTTTATATCTTTAAGGAAATATAAAGTCATGCTAATTTCAAGACGCAGGATGCCATTCTGTATTGTTTGCTGTTGTTTGAGGCCATCAAGTCAGTTTGGACTCACAATGACCCTGTGTACAACAGAACAAAACATTGCCTGGCCCCGTACCGTCCTAGCAAATTTTGCAATGTTTGAGTCCATTGTCACAGCCATTGTGTTAATCCATCTCATTGAGGGTCTTCCTCTTTTTTGCTGACCCTTGACCATACCAAGCATGATGTCCCTCTCCAGGGACTGCTGATCCCTCTTGATAACAAATCCAAAGTATCTGAGACACAGTCTTGCCATTCTTGCTTCTAAGAAACATTCTAGTTATAGTTCTTCCAAGACAGATTTATTCCTTCTTAATAAATTCAGATTTATTCATTTATTCATTCTTCTGGCAGTCCAAGGTATATTCAATATTCTTTTCCAACACCATAATTCAAAGGCATTGATTCCTTTTCAGTCCCTATTCGCTGTCCACATTTCACATGCAGATGGGGCAATTGAAAATACCATGACTTGAGTCAGGCACACCTTAATCCTCGAAGCGGTATCTTTGCTTTTAACACTTTAAATAGGTCTTTTGCAGCAGATTTACCTAATTCAATATGTCATTTGATTTCTTGACAGCTGTTTCAATGGGCGTTGATAGTGGATCCAAGTAAAATGAAATCCTTGACAACTTCAATATATTCTCCATTTATCATGATGTTACTTATTGGTCCATTTGTGAGGAGTTTTGTTTTCATTATGTTTAAGTGTAATCATACTGAAGGGTGTAATCTTTGATCTTCCTTCATCAGTAAGTGCTTCAAGTCCTCTTTACTTTCAGTAAGAAGGCTGTGTCACCTGCTTAACACATGATGTTAAATGATTCTCCCTCTACATACCAAAATTAGAAAAAGAAGCAGGGAAAGGCTTTTAGTATGCTTTTTGCTTCTTCAAGCTTAAAGATCCAGGGGAGAATACTGCTGTGTCTAAATCTTCCCTTACAGTCTTATCCTGAGGACTAAGTAAGATAAAGTGCTGACATACATAGCTCATGATGCTAGGAGGTGGGTCTCAGTGCACAGAGGTGGTTGTTCCTAGTATTCACAACCAAAAGTGTCTACAAATCTCCTTAAGCTGAGATTACAGGCAGCAGAGCTGGACCCTATAGTGTGGGAAATAATTAAATTAGCCCATGTGACAGGGCACTCGAAGACTCAGCTGCTGCTATTCCTTCTGTCCCTTCTCTGAGCCATCAGACGCACGTGAGGTTGGATAATGGCTGCTGGGGCTTCTGGTTGCAATTTGTTGGATCATCATGTCTGGGGAAGCCATACTCAAAGCCCCGTGACTTAGAGGAGAGAGGGGAAAGAATAGGCTGAGTAAACATTGATCCTCCTCACCCTCTTTCCAGGTCCAGGGGTGGATGGGAGATGACTGACTGTGCTCAGTTTTTCAGTAAGACCTGACTCACTTCGGTTAAAGTAACCATAGGAAGGAAGTGGGAAACATCAAAGCTGAAATTCTGAGATGAAGATTAGGTTTAAAAATGGAGGCTAGCAGAAGAAGAGGAGAGAGAGAGTAAAGCTCTCTACGCTTAGGTTGTCTTCACTGAACTGAAGAAGACACCCTGAAATCCTCGGTGTCACTGCCAGGCAATGACTATTAACTTAAATTTGGGGTTGACACTTCATGAGTGGGAAGAGGGCCTCTAAAGCAATAGACAGAACACACGTGGAGAACCACATTTCTGATAAGATTCTAACAATAGTAGCTACACTGTATCGAGCACTAATTTTGAGCTAGACAGTGCTGGATATACATTATATTCAGGTGTATTCTATGGTGTTATTACTGATATTTTATATAATAGGAAACTGGCACTCAGAAATGTTGATATGACTTGGCCATAGATACAATGTGGATATTTAGAGAACTGATCATAACATAAAACACATTCCCTTTGTAGTAATTCTTTATCGTTGCCCCAAATTTCACAGTTTAAAACAGCAAACATTTATTATCTCACAGTTTATGTGGATTAGGAATCTGGGAATGGCTTAACTATGTAGCTCTAGCTCAAGGGTCTCTAATGAGGTTGTAGTCAAGATGTCAACCTGGGCTTCAGTCATTTGAAGGTTTGATTGGAGTTGGAGGTTCTACTTCTATGATGGTTCGTTCACCTGGTAGTTGGCCTGAGGACTCAGTTCCTCACTGACTGTTGGCAGGTGGCCTTGGTTCCTTGCTACATGAGCCTCTCACAGGGCTTCTTGAGTGTTCTGACAACATGGCAACTGGCTCCCCTTATAATCAGTGATCCAAGAGAGAGCAAGGAGAAAGTCATGGTGTCTCTTATGACCTGGTCTCAGAAATCTCACATCACTTCTGCCATGTTCTATTTGCTAAAGTAAATCACCAGGTATGGTGAAATTAGGTTCCACCTTTTTAAAGGAGATGTATCAAAGAATTTGTGAGCATATTTTAAAGACAGAACACTCTTCTAGGAATTTCAACAGAAACAGCTTAGTGTTAGAATGTTACCTCAGGCTCCTGGGAGGAAGTGGGGAGTTGGGTAGGCATCAATGTAAATGGATGGGTCTCTCTTTTAGGCTCAGTCCAATATATTCACTTTTCTAAGCCTCAGTCTCTCATCTGGACAACTAGCACCAGTTTCCTGCCAGGTATAGTATCTGTGTTAAGGTGTATATATGTTTTAGACAAGGAATGTAGAGCTTTTTTTACCCCTTCAATTAACCTTATTCTCTAAAAGCAACCACTTCATCTCTTTCTATGTCCGTTCTGTTCCTTCATCACCAGAGTTTGGGTAACTAAGGAGAATGAGTATTATCTGTGGTTCCAGTGACTGAGGTGAGGAGGGTGGAATCAGTCAGAAGAAACTCCGGAGGTCTGTAGTTACCCTACCTACCCATTTATAGAAAACACCCAAACCCCCTGCCACCCAGTTGACTCCAACTCATAGCAACCCTATAGCACAGAGTAGAACTGCCCCATAGAGTTTCAAAGGCTGTAAATCTTTACAGAAGTAGACTGCCTCGTCGTTCTCCCATGGAGCATCTGGTCAGTTTGAATCGCAAATCTTTTGGTCAGCAGCCGAATGCCTTAACCACTCCACTATCAGAGTTCCTTACTGATAGAAAGCAGACAGGTAAAAAACAGACTGTTTCTTCCTTCGTGGAAGTGAGGCACATTCTAGGAAGAAAGGGATGAGAACAAAGATAAGAAGGAAGAGGGGAGAATAGAAATGACTCAGTGGCAGAAGCTGCCCATTCTATGACATTTCCCTCTCAAAACACTTGCATGAGTAGATTTAATAGTGGAATTGTGGGGACTAGTTGCTATGAGTTGGGTCTGACTCAACAGCATATAACAACAACAACAAGTTTTAGACTTAATGTGTTATGGGGAAAAGCAGATATATCTCTCCAAGGACATAGGAGCTAGAGCAAAATAACATAAACCCAGAATTTAGAATGGCAGGAAGATCTTTGAACTTTCAGAATCTGAAGAATTGCCTGAAGAATGAATTAGTAATCTCTATTTCTGAGGGACTTATGGTTCCAAGGCGACATATGTGTACCATTATTCAATACCTATTTTCAGTACTAACTTACTCAATAACTATAAAATTTTCACTTACTTGTCTGGGCCTCAATTTCTGCAATAATGAAATAAGAAAGTCAGTCTGAATCAAAGGTTCCAGCCTGGGGCCTTTAGATTCATGCAGGTTCTTGTCTTTGAGCCACTTGAAAATGTGAAAAAGACTAAAGGAAATTATGAATTTACCACCTCTACCTCCCATAAGCCTGTTTGTACAGATTCATTGAAAAATCACTTCTCTGTGTTTGGATGGAGTCACATCTATTTGGTGTAGAAAGATGGGCTGCTAATCAGAAGCTCTATTTAGTAATCACATATTATAACTTTGATTAACAAACTCAGAAAATAAAATTATTTCTTTAAATAATTTTTTAACCAGCCAAAAATATTTTAAAATAGAGAGTCTCTACTGAAAACAAACAAACAAACACACTGCCATCGAGTTGAACCTGACTCATAGTGACCCCTCCTTGGTTTCTG